ACTTTTGAGAGCGGGCGAGTATCGCGTCCACGCCACTACGCGCGCGGGCGCCTCACCGCGCCCAACCCCCTCCGCACCAGCACCCGCAGCACCACCGCACACATCCCCAGCCCCACAAGCAGCACATACGACGGCAGCGCCGCGATCGTCGTCGGTCCCACGAACGCGTACCGCTCCCTCTCCCGCTTGTCCCCCTCCCCGTCCTTGGTCCCCACCTCCCTACGCTGCACGGGCAGGAAGAGCGCAAGCAGCCGCCGCGGGTCGAGCTTCTGCGGCAACGTCAGTGCCGCTGGCGCGGGCGCGGGTGCGGGGGTCGACGTATTCGCGGGAGTCGATGTAGTCACGGAAGGCGAGAGATCCGCGACAGCCGCAGAAGTCGGTGCCGGAGCCGTAGCACTCCGCTCCTCCATCGCCCCAACCCTACGCTCCACCTCCTCCAGCCTCTGCCGGAAAGCCTCTACCGCCCCGCGCAGCTCCGCGTTCTCGTCCTGCCATCGCCGCGCGCGCGCCCGCCCGCGCTCCTCCGCCTCCGCGAGCTTGATCTCGGCCTCGCGCTGGCGCGCCGCGTGGGCTTCTTGTTCGCTCTGGCGGGCGGCGGACGCAGCCTGTTCGCGCTCTTCCGCGAGCTTGGCGTTGGCACTCGCGCGCTCGTCTACATGGCCGGCCTCCTCGCCCTCGCCCTCGCTCTCGCGCAAAGCAACGAACGCAGCGACAGGCAACGACGGCACGCGGCGCACGGTACGCCCCATGAGCCCGTCGTCCGCCTCCCACGCGTGCACGCCCGTCCCGCTGCTGCTGCGCTGCATGTGCACGTGTGTCGCGCCCGTGCTGTACGTCTGCGTCACTGTCGCGCCCGTGCTGTGCGTCGAGGCCATGCCGGTGCTGTGCGTCGAGACCGGACGGGTACCCGTGTTGTGCGCTGAGAGAGGCTGCGCAGGCAGCGGGCGCCCCATTGCCGTCCCCTTGCCCTTCCCGCTGCCCTTCTTCCCGCGCCGCCAGCTCTCTTCCCCTCCTCCTGCACCCAGACCCGCACCCGCTCCCGCGCCCACCCCGTCCTCGAGCGCAAGCAGCTCCTCCACCGTCAGCTCTTCCTCCGCCGCTTGTCCATTCGCGAAGGCGCTGGCTTGTCCATTGGCGAAGGGATTGGGGTTCCCATTGACGAAGGCGCCGACGTTCCGCGCAGTCGCAGCATCGTACGGATTGGCATATCCACCATCCGGCCTCACAGGCAACGCGCGCACCGTCCCCGCCGCCTCCTCCCCCTCACTCTGGCTTTGACTCCCTCCGTTGGCAAACCCACTCTCCGCACCCGCACCACCAGGTAACCCATCCCTAAACCCGCTCCCTCCCCCTCCTCCTCCTCCTGTGCCCTCCCTAAACCCACTCCCATTCCCATTCCCAAACGGCCCCCTCACGCGGCGGAACCCGCTGACCCCTCCCCCGCGCTCAGGCGACCCCTCGTCCGCCTCGCTCCCGCTGCTCTCGAACGAGCGCACCATCCCCTGCACCCGCCCGTTCCCGTGCCCGTGCCCGCGCGCGAACCGGCCTCCGCCCCCGCCGTTGTTGTTAGAGTGCGAAGGGGAGGCAAAGGGCGACGACGAGCCGTGCGTGGGCGAAGGCGCGCCGAACGGGCCAGTAGCGGGCGAGCCAAAGGGGCCGGTGGTAGGCGAGCCAAAGGCGGCGTCGTCGTGCTTATTGTTCCTGTTCTTATACTTCGACGCCTTGAACGTCGACCCCGAGAACCCGGCCTCGTCCTCATTCGCGAACTGCCTGAAGGGCGAGGTGAAGGGTGACGCGGACGCCGCGATGTGCGCCGTCTGGTGCGGCGCGCGGCGCGAGGGCGTGCCGTCGTCGTCTTCGTCCTCCCCTGCCTCGTTTTCCCCGTCTTGTTCCTGGAGGTGGTGCATGCGCGTGGGCGAGGGGGAGGGCGAGGCGAAGCGGGTGGGGGAGGAGGAGGTGAAACGGGTGGGCGAGGGCGACATGCGGGTGGGGGACATGCGTGTAGACGAGACGCGCTGGGCAAAGGGAAACTCGGACTCGCTCCCGGAGGACGCGGACGAGATGGGCGAGGACGATTCGAGCTGGCCCTGGAGGACTTCCTGTCGGAGGGCGCGTGCGGCGGGGCGGAGAGCAGGGGGTGCACTGGGGGAAGAAGGGGGCATTGATAAGATGATTGTAAAGGTATGAGAGGGGGTAAAAACGCAAAAAAGAAGAGGCGGAGGCGCGGAGAGGCAAGAGTAGCGGCTGAGTGCAGGCAGACATGCGTGCTCCACGATCTCCCGAAGGAAAGAGCCCCTCGCGCGCTCGCCTCGCATCGTCCCCGTTTCAGGAACGAACAGAAGAAAAAAAAAAATCGAAAAACCCCGAAAAAAGAAAGAAAGCAAGAAATCGATATAGGGGACAAAAAGCGAAAGCAAGGATCCGCGAACGGAAAGGGAGAGGGAAAGAGCATCGAGCCAGCGGAAAGGCGAAGGAGGGGGAAGAACGAGCGGGGGCAGGACCACAAGACGGGCAAAATGTAAGGAGTGAATGATGTGCGGAAGGAGAGTGAAGATGGGTGGAGTGCGCGCAATAGGGGGAGGATACTCAACGAGGATGGAGGAGAGGAGGGGGATGGGATGAGAGAGGAAAAGGAAAAGGAAAAGGAAAGGCAAACAGAGAGGGGGAAGAGGGTGCATGCATACATCGGGAAGACAGCGACGGACTCAGTACGCCCAGGGAGACCGGGGAAGAGCGAGGACGATGGTGGAGTGTGAAGGGTGCACGGGAAGGAACAGGCGCAGATGAAGGAAGATGAAGGATGGAGGGGGGTGGAGACGCGGATAAAGAAAGGGTGCGGATGTGTCGCTAGGGGTATCGGGAACAGGTAAGGGGGAAGGATAAAAGGAAGGGAGAGGGGACGATAGAATGAATCGGCAAGGATTGAAATTGTCAGGAATGCAGGATACGTCGGATGTGCAATGAAGGTGCAATGAATGCAGAAGGGAATCGAATGCAAGAAAGGCACAAGCTGGGTGGGATTTGAGAGAGATAGAAGCAGGACGTGCCACCCAGACGAGCATCCATTTTAACCGCCGCAAGGACTTCTCCCCAAGTCAAGTCCGCAGAAAGCAAAACGAAAAAGAGAAAGAGATAAAAACGAAAAGAAAAGGCCGACTCACCCCATCTCCGCTAGCTCCTCCTCGCTCATACGCATGAACGCCCTGCCACCAACACCACGGCGCGCAGCCCACTCGCCCGCCTCGCGCGATACAGCGCTCCCTAGATGGGCCGCCAGCTGCTCGGGCGTCCACCGCTTCGGCGCGACACCAGGCCCCGCCGCGGCCGCCGCAGCTGCGTTCCGGCTCGCGATGCTGTTGTTGCTCACCCCCGGCGGCACCGGCAGCGCGCGCGGGCCCTGTACCCCGCCGCCTCCACCTCCACCTCCACTCCCACTCCCATTCCCAGCAAGATTCCCGGCACTCCCAGAGGACGGCAAATACATATCGTCGCTCGCACTGAGGCTGCGGCTGTAGCGGTGCCCGCGGTACTCCCCGCGCCGCCCCTCCTTTGCGGGGCTCGCTGCGGCAGGCGAGGACGGGACGTAGTGGTGGCGCGTCGCGGGCGACGAGGAGACGGAGTTGGAGCGCGAGAGGATGCCGGTGGAGGTTGTTTTGATGGGGTAAGGGTGCGCGTTGGGCTTGAGTTCGGGGTTCTTGGACGGCGAGGGCGGGCGCGGGAAGGTGAAGCCTGAGGGCTCAGAGGGCGTGGCGGGCGTTGGGGGGCGAGGGCCCGTCATCGTGACGGGCGTCGCCGAGCGAGGCTCCGGCATCGTCGTGGGCGTCTCCGGAGTCGCCATGCTCGATGTCGGCTGCGTCGAGAGAAGAGAGAAAGGAGAAGTGACACGGCCCGGCTTCTTCCGCTGGCTGATCAGGTGCCTGCTTTTTCTCACGGTTCGTCGGGTTGTTCGATTTTACAACGATGCTTAGCCCGGCTCAGGACAAACAGAAAAAGCCCTTGTATATCAAGCCAGATTGTCCCCAGGCAGTGCTTGTTCCCATGATAGTTGCGGGGAAGACGGAGGTTCGAATCCTCCCTAGGGCATGGGGCTGGAATACAACTGTTTTTAAACAACTACGGTAGCATCTTCAACATATACTTTTAGCGTTTGCTTCCTGCAAAATTCATCTCTCGTTTCCTTCCACTGACAGTCAATCTCCCTCTCATCCGGTACCTATGTACCTTTACATATACAAAAGGGCACAATTTGGCGGCACGGCGCCTATGAATCCAGGCTATCCAGTTACCCATCAAGTCCGGTGCATATTCAGGCGGTGGATGAAGGTAGGAAGCCCCAGTAGATCAATGCAGATCGTCCCGTCGAGATACAGCATGTCGTTACGAGTTAATGGGAAGACGGAGGTTCGAATCCTCCCTAGGGCATAGGTCGTAAGGGCAATAAACTTTTTTTAAAACAACCACGGTAGCATCGTCAAACATATACTTTTGTCGTTTGCTGCCTGTGAAATCTCTCTCTCGTTTGCTTCCACCGAAAGTCGGTCTCTCCCTCATCCGGTATCTACCTTTTTATATATCAATAAGGCACAATTTGGCGGCAGGGAATTCGGCGCCCATGATTCCGAGCTATCCATCTACCCATCAAGTCAGGTGCATATTCAGGCGTTGGGGGAGGGTAGGAAGCCCCGGTAGATCAATGCAGATCGTCCCGTCGAGATAATGCCCCTGCTTGAGTCAATGGGAAGACGGAGGTTCGAATCCTCCCTAGGGCCCGATCTTTTTTACGCCCACTGTCGCATATTCAACCCGTGCTTTTCTTTCTTTCTTTCTTTGTCGTTCGCTCGCTCTCACTGAGATTCCTCCTCTCATTCTCTACGCAACAAGACAAATGCAAGGACTACATACATACTATTGGTATGGGGAAATTCGAACCCTCTAAACCAGAGATATCGAATTGCGACCTGAGTCGGGTGTATATCCAGGTTGTGAAGGAGGGTAATAAAGCCCTGGTAGATCAATGCAGATCATCCCACTTTTGTCATCCGCCACATCCATTTCATAATAAAGGGGAAGACGGAGGTTCGAATCCTCCCCCGGGCATTCGGTCGTCGTCAATTCTTTTTTTGACATTGCGAACTCATTCACACCCTCAACTGCCTTCAATCCAAGTGTTTTTGTTTCCATGTGTCGTTTTCTAATAAAGTTTTTCTTCTTCCAAATATATGAACCACACGGCGTCTCTCCAGACTCGGTGGTTGGGAAAATTCACTAGCCACTCGCTTGGTTCATAAATCCCAACTCATGTATATTCAGCCTGGAACTGAGGGTAAGAAAGCCCTGGTAGATCAAGGTAGATCGTCCCTTACCTGTGATTTCGCCATTCTTTCCTGTATGCGGGGAAGACGGAGGTTCGAATCCTCCCCCGGGCATGAATGGCAGGAATTGCATTTTTTCCCTCGCCGGATGCTTTTCTTCCTGTGTTCTGCATCGTGCTTCCGATAACCTTTCTCACATTTTTTCGCGCTTCCTGAACACCTAAAAGCTAGTGTCTCCTGATGTCTCCCCGACCTGGTGTCAGGGATTGGCTAACAACTCGGAACCAAATGCTCACACATCAACTCAGGTATATTCAGCCTGGGACTGAGGGTAGAAAGCCCTGATAGATCAATTTAGATCATCCCTTCTCGGTGCTGTATGATGTAAGCTACGTGTAAAGGGAAGGTGGAGGTTCGAATCCTCCCAGAGCATTCGTTGTTGGTGGTTTTTGCAATTGGCACCCATGATGCAAGCTTTCTTGCTTTCTTCCGGTCTCGTTCGCGTGCTGTATGTAGATACATATCATTATGCGCAATCCACGAGTAACCGGAGGAACATGCACGCACTCGAATGCATGTCCTGAGGCTGTTCATGCAGTTATAAAGCCTTGGTAGATCAACGTAGCTAATCCAGCCCTTGTATGATGCTCGATTGGGAAGACCAAGATTCAAATCCCCTCCAGGGCTTTACTTTTCGGCGTCTTTTTTATTATTTTTATTTTTATTTCCATTGTTCTTCGTTCTTTCTGCACACATATTCAGGCTGTGCATTACAGGTAGAAAGCCCTGGTAGATTAATAAAGGTCATCCCGTCTCAGTACTAGGTGGTGAATATTTCCTCCAACAAATGCCCTGCCTGAACTCTGGCTTCCCGATACACACTGATGTAGCCCGTTCATATTGTTCATCTTCTTCCGTGCTGCCTCGCGTGTAACATCCATTCAACACAACCAAGAATTCGACCGCGTATCGACATTCACGAACCCTTCCCCCTATTTACGCTTGCCTCCCGTTCTGGGTTCTTCTTCACGCCTATTTACGGCTATCGACGACCTGATGGTGTGTGTACAGTTTGTTTTATTTTTTTCACGGTTTAGAGACCTTGCACTTCACTGAACTTCAAACTAACCTGGGGCGTACATTGATTTTCCGAAAAGGCAGGTAGCTAGGTAGGTACACGGCCGAACCACCAACTATTGATTGTCCATTGTATTGATCGGTGATAATTATCTCTGACACCGCTTCCATGACAGGCCTGGACGTGTCGCATCTTGACTCCGACCACCATGTCCTTTGTCGACCTCCCGGAAGACGTGGTCTATCATGCTCTCTCTATGTGTGACGTATCCTCCGTGATAAGTATTAGCCAGGTGCAGCCCTTTCTGGTAATTCCAACCGAAGCTAATTCGTACTCCTGGCGCAGACGAGCAAATACCTTCACCTTCTTGGACTCACCCCAACCGTCTGGAGGTCTCTCGTAGAGGATCTGCGCAATCGCGGGTTTATCGACAGACTGTCTGCTGCGGACATACGAGCGATGTCGACCGAAACTCTGATCGCAGTCGTGAAACGGTTGGTCGTCGGCCCCGCGGCATGGTCACCGCCCAAGATTCAGTCGTCGCCCCAACCCACTTCCTTCTCCAAAATGCTAGCCAAACTTGTTCGTCCTCGGGGGCAAAAAGCGGCAGTGCCAGGTCCACTGCAAATCCAACCCTCCGAGGAAACCGTGCTCCATCCGGCGCTTCCTCCTGTATTCCCCGAGCCCTGCCTCTCGACCTTTAAACTTCTTCGGGGTGGAAAATATGCCCTTTTTTGCCATGTGCAAGATCCGGCCGCTCTAGTATGCTGGCGTGTGGCCGACGATTCGTTGCTCGGGACGTATTACAGCGCCCTCCCGACCCCCAAGATCTTCGATTTCGAGGCAGAAGTATTTGACGGCGGCGAGCGAGCAAATATTGTGATCCTCGTCTACGCGGAGACAGACAATCTGTATGTGCAGCACTCGCGCTGAGATTGATGTCCTGATTTATTTTGTCGCAGTGGTTTCATCGAGATCATTCATTGGGATTTTGGGACCGGGGAGACAGAACTGCTCTCAACGACCGCGTGCACGAACTATCAAATGTGCCTTTCGCCCAAAATCTGTTCCGGTCTTGCCGCCGTACGTGTGTACCAACGTTTGGCGGAAATGTATGTCATCATCGACTGGCATGCCCACAAATATTGCAAGATCATCTGCCCCGATAATGTGGTGCGTCAATTGTGCACACACCAGTCTTCCGTTTGCTCAATATTTCCGGATCCAGGGATTCGATTTTTGCATGGAACTCATTCCAGGATTCTTCATCGTCACGGCACGACCCTCTTCCCCTAATCTGACAACAGAGATCCGAGTTGGTTCCGTCGCGTCCCTCTCTGGATCTTGGGTGTCATTGCCGGTAGGGCAACACAATACGGTCGAGCCCTTGCCATTTTCGAGTCTCTCTCTTGTCGCATCGAACACGGTGACGCTGAAGGATGCAGGAATCAAGTCTGGACGAATGGAAGTACACGAAAGTCCGCTTCAGCGCGACACCTACCGAGTATGGCTCCGGATCCCGTATTTTGTCCCTGGAGCGCGCGGCCAGCGCGGTAGCACGCATCGTGCTCTGATATGCAGCTTCAATCTGTCCACCTCAGGATCAGGCGGCAGCCAATTCAGCTGGAACCAACGGAGTTCCGTTGCAGCAGCACCCGATACGCGCGCTGATGGAATTTCATATTCTGGACACACGCAGACTCGAATATGGTTCGAGCCTAATGGAACCCAAACAATATTTCAGCCAGAAAACCATTCTGCGCTGATCACCCTTGAGATGCCCGAAGGGACGCAGTCGACGTGTTTCGTGTCACATAGCGGAACGTTGGTATATTTCACCATGCAGACGGTTGTCCTCCGCTACTTTGAATGAGATTGTGCTGGAACTTCGCATGTACACCCTAATAAATATTGCATTGTTCCATTAGCGCGCAGAACTCAGTCCCAATCCAGTTTCCATCGATAACATATTTCGCCGAGTCGTGGAGTGTCTATCCTGGCACTAAAGCTCCCGGGACCTGTGTGGAATATCCTGCCAAACTGTCCAATCTAGGTACATGCACAATCCACGATCATATGCGTGCATGTACTGAGGTTTTTTCATCGAGTTAGAAAGCCCTGGTGGATCAGCGCGCATCATCCCGCCCTTGTATGGCGGCCGCACACATACATACGAGTGGGAAGATGGAGCATCAGAGTTTTACATAACACACAGCTTGTCAGCTTGAACAAGGCCAAAAAAGGTCAAAAAAGGTCAAACAAACTCGCAAGCTTGCAACCTCACAAACCATGTCCGAAATTTCACAAGCTCAGAATTTTTCCGAATTTCCTTTTTTTTTTGAGGCTCGTCTGCAAAGTTGATTTACGATTCCATGTCACTGTGTTTTCCAACTTTTTGAATTATTTGACCTTGTGAGCTTGCTGACAAGCTGACAAGCCCGCACAAGCCGCAAGCTGCCTGTTAAATCGCTGATGAGGTTCGATTCATCCCCAGGGCATTCGATGATGCCGTTTGGTTTTTGCAACTGGGATGCCTTTTCTTACTTTCCTCCGATCTCGTTTGCTTGCTACGCATTAATTTCTCGTTCGCTCCGCCCCTAAATCATGCCAAGTTCCTGTCACTAGATTTACTAGCCCAATGTAAATCGGACTTTCACTCTTTCACTCGCACATCGACTCTGGCATATTCACTGCCATCAAGTTGTGAAGGAGGTCAAAAAAGCCTCGGTAGATCAAAGTAGATCGCCCTTCCTCTGTAGAGGACATGTCAATGTAAACGGAAGACGGAAGTTCGAATTCTCCATGGGGCATTTGAACTTCCGTGCCAAACAACCTTTTGACATTTTTTACCTCGCACATCCAACCCTCCAAGTCGTGGAGTGTCCGTGACGATAATTCAATAATTCTCGGGACTTGTGCGGAGTATCTGCTGAGATTGTTCAATATATGGAGACGCGAGAAATCCATGCACACCCGGAAGAAGACGCACGCAGTCGTGCATGTATTGAGGCTGGTCGTGCAGCTTTGGTAGATCAACACAGGTCATCCCGCACTTTTAATCGCTTTGTACAGGCGACTGGGAAGACGGAGGTTCAAACCCCGCCCGCGTCGTGCATTTTTTTCTTCGCTTTTCTGGACCTCGCTAAGTAGGATTACAAACGGGGTTGGAGCGCAAGTTGTCTCGATTGGGTGTGTGTTGGGCTCGAGTTCGGGATTCCTGGAGGGCGATAGCGGGCGGGCGTCGAGAGAAGAGAGAAAGGAGAGGTGCCACGGCCCGGCTTCTCCCTCAGCCGGATCAGGTGTCCTCTTTCTCACGGTTCGCCGGGTTGTTCACTTTCGTTTTTAGGGTGTGGTAGAATAGAACAACCTTTAGGAAAAAATAGAATTTTTCGTCTATTTTACTGCAATACTTAGCCCGGCTCAGGACAAGCAGAAAAATCCCTCGTAGATCAAGCCAGATTGTACCCAGGCAGTACTCGTTGCCATGATAGTTGCGTGAAAGATGGAGGTTCGAACCCTCCCTAGGGCATGGGGCTGGAATTCATATCGCCCTCCGGGCACCCCTGGTACCTGTACGCCGATCTATACCTACCGGTACTCCATACACCATTAACCACACACCATTAAAATCATACCAACCCCGTCACATTCCACACTAATCAAGTGTTTGGATTATACCTAACCACGATCGCCTTCTGTTCGCCCCACATCTCCCAATTAAACCAAGTATCCACGATTGCAACATACGTCTCAACCAACACCGGAATGTATTTGAGCTACATCTCATGAATAGTCAGAGAAGTTACCATGCGATAGTGATCCCAAATGGTCCTGTGCTTGAAATGTGCGATGCAAATTCTCTGCCGTCCACTGAATTTCAAAACCTCGCGCTTCAAGCCCCTCCATCTAGTTCACACGCAGCCAACCATGCGCTGTCACTTGGCACGGTCCGTGCAATGCTTGTGGGGGGGAAAGCAAGGGTGGACATCAATAGCTGGCCGCATACTGTAGTCGGACTCGGCATTTATTCAGCGAG